GATCTGATATTTGACTAGCGCGGTGTTACGGTGACGGCCCCGCGTGGTGGAAGAGGCTGAAGTATGGTTGCTATAATAATGGTATAATATACCGATGTACAATAATGTGTGGACGTGTGTGTGTGTCTTTGGGTGATGAATACAGGCTCGTTATTGCAATTCGTGTCGTGTCTTTTTCCCAATTATCATACAACTGAGATTCCTACATGTATTTATTCAACATTTTAGTAAAAGATGTAAATAGTTTCTAATTATTTTACGTTTTTGTTTATAATTATGTGTAGTTTTGTTGTTATAATGCATATGATGTATTTAGACTCAATACATTCTTCGCAATTGACAGTTATTAATTTTGGCCAAAAAAGTGGGCCTCAGAAACTATTGTGATGTGGTGTAAAATTTAATATAACGAAGTTACACATGTGACATCTACCTCCGGTTGATAAGCAACTTATCGTGCACTGGTGTCCGACAAGTGAACTACACTCTCTTGTCGGAACGTAACCTGGCAGGCATCAAAACCTAATAAGTTGACGAAAAATGAAGATCAAATGTCACATACTTCGTTACACGAAATTTTCCACATGTTTATTGGCAACAATGGCAATTATTGCATGCCTTCTTAAATCAGGTTTGGTTGATACACTTTGGTACATTTGATTGCGTCATTATCAAAAATAAGGAAGATACACTTTGGTACCTTTGACTGCGTCAGAACGTGTCATGCCGCACACTATTGCATAGGAGTTTCCTAACAATCAAGTGCAAAAGCTATGGGTCGTCGCGTTGTAACTTTAAAAATCAAAACTTGAGATTTGAAGGTAAATCTATTAAAAATATTATTTTTATGTGCAATAAGTCTCTCTTACATTATATCAATTCCTTGGTAGCAGTAGCATCACTACTTCATTTACGAAGATTGCTATTTATTTTTATGGAATAATGGTGGTCAAAATTTCAGTTTTATAAAAATTAGTTTTCAATAAAACAGCAGGTTCGAGGTTCTGGATTGGTATGAAGAGTAACTGGTTAAAGGGTATCATGATGATTTATTGCTAGGTGTGTGCCAATAAACGATAGATTAGGATAAAATATCTTAACAGAACAATAGTTTACTTTTTGGTGTTCTCCTTTTCAAAAAATCAAGAAGGTATCTAATTGAATAATTATCAAATGTGCCCCCTAAATGAAATTGATTATGCAACCGGCGTCAGACCGCTATACGGATAGTATTACTGAGTCCTTCCAAAATCATTCAATTGAACTTCGGAAACGCTCATACTTACATTAACGAACACCTAGGAGCACTTACTCGCCGTAAGATTGTTGTTGTTGTTGTTGTTGTTGTTGTTGTTTTTCAATGACCCTGCTTCCCGCCTTCTCAGGCACAATAAACAGTTGAAGACAAAAGCTCGCAGTGAGCAGTGATGACAACCTTCCAAACACATCTTCACTGGCGCGAAATAGAAACTATTTTCTGTTTAAGACGAGAACTTCTGACCGAGATGTTCTCCAAAAATCTAAAGAAATGACCGAAGCAGGTGAAGATCCATCACCGGAGATTCCTCGAACTTCTGAGAAAGTTAGAACGCAAATTATTGAGAAAGCGAAGGCATGACTGACTTTCCGGAGATTGGCACTACTTCATAAAACCTAGGGGCCTATTTCGTAACAAATATACCCTCTGCCCGCATTTCTTCAATCCTTCGTCCAAGAAAAGTTGCGCAAGTAATAATAGTTACGTAATACTATTTATAGCACAATTTACCTCCGAATTAAACATCTCAGTCATCATTTTTTGTAAAACTCATTTCAAATCGTAGAACATTTAGTGCGAAAATTAAATAGTTTCAAACAATCGAATTTTTATTCCAAACTTTAAATGAAAATATATTTTTGACATTCAATTCATTGTATAAGGTATGAAGTGTTTTCACGATAACATCGGATGAGTTTTTTAGCCTTACAATATTCTTCGTAAGCAGTATGCGAGAAAGTAAAATAATTAAAAGTTAATAAATAATACGATACTGATAGCGTTTTGCGAACAAATGCAATAGATTGGAAATTTATAAAAGTAATTCTTAAACACTATAATATTGTAATATTCTACAAATACATAAAGGAATTGTTTTATATTACAGCGAACGAAATGCAGACGTCATAAACGCCTTGTTATCAGTACGGCCTTACAACAATGGGTTACAACCAACAATCTCCGCTCATCCATTCTTTTTCACATTTAACAATTAAAGGACGCAATTTTAAAATGAAATAACATAAATATAATAAATAATAATTATAATAAACTGAAATATGAAATTATATACAAATTCTAACACGTAACCTCCAAATGAGTAAATTGAGAAAGGCGACTGAAGGCTAGCAATCTTCATTTCATATTTATTTCAAATAGGTTTTAAATAATTTCTAAAAGAATAATTGGTAAACATATAACAAAATCTCCAATGTAAGAAACGAACAAAGAAATATGCGCCGCAAACTCAGCCAGAACGATACGATTGGGGAATATCAATTTTAGAGAAAATCGGCTGAACGGTTTAGCCGCTAGTTCACATATCGTCATATCATTTGCCGTCTATCGACTCTTCGGTATCAAGGACCCACAAAACATGGATTCTGGCTACACCACGTACATAAAGGATTTCTAAATTTAGCAACCTAGGATTTATCTACTTTTTTGTTACCAGGGTCCTCTTTTCTGCCGAAAATTCGCCGTTTGTTCGCGCAGTATTACATTACTTTTTCTTAACAAATACTTTCTTAAGGGGGTGAAAGTAAAAAAACTCAACCAGTAAATTTTAAGAGATAATTATACAAATGTAGTATGCCTCATTTTGTCTCTGGTCTTCATTTAATAAGGCAAACTATCACATAAACATTTTTGATTGTGTCTGGCATCAGATCTTTTCCATAATTTGAATGAAAAATTTTACTTAAGTTTGCCGGTTATATCGTAAAATAATAGTAGAAGGCATAAATCATAGTATCATTTAAAATTGATCAGTCAAAAAATGTGCACGAAAACGTCCTAGGATGTAGCCAAGACAGAGTGTTCGGCAACATAGCACTGATTTTATTGTTTTGTTTACTTGATGTCCTTCTTCGTTGACTGCCGAGACCTTTCAGAATGATCACTGCCATTCTCGCACAGTCTGACGTCACATGACTGACAATGACCCACATTCCGAATTACCTACTATTCCTCACATTAATGTAGATGCAGATAAATAAAACAGCCCATTCGAGTGCGGCAATATACTACATGGATGAAAATATTGTACGTTTAAATCCCCAAGAAATCTCGAACATCTATTAATTTTTGGCATATGAACATATGTCAACATGCGATAGATTTTTACTTTCTTGAGTATTTGTGTAGAGACAGCAAATGTATCGCGCAAAAAATTGGATCTCAAGTTTTAAATGGACAAACGCATGTGGTTATTTAATAAAAGATTTTTTTTACCAAAGAAGTCTGCCTGTTAATCTGCGACACGAATTTAAAATTTCTCAGTATTTTTTTCCAAGTTGATATTTTAATACTGACTTAAGTTCAAACCCCAAAACGTGGAAAAGATTCTCTAAAACGGACTTTTTTTACTTTCTCGCATTACGAAGGTACTTCATAAGCATATAAAGTTATGTAATCGTGCGTTAGAAAACGGCGAATTTTCGTCAAACTTTTCTTGCTGGGCCCTGGTGACGAAAAAGTAGATAAATTCTGTTGATAAATATAGAAAAAAATCTTTAAACATATGGTGTAGCCAGAATCCATGTTTTGTGGGTCCTTGATACCGAAAAAACAATTGACGGCATAACGTCTCTCAACACTAGCGCCTAAACTGTTCGGCCGATTTTCTTAAAAATTGATATTCCTTAATCGATCTTAATGAACTCGAGGCTTCGTGAGTGGATATTTTGATTTCTGATGGTACTGTACATGAAGCCTCAAAAACATTTTGAAATTTTTTTCAAAACTTGCACCAAATTTTTCGATCAACTTTGTCTTTGGATAAATTTAAGAACAATTCAGAGAATGTTCTAGGTCTCAAGTTCATTAAAATCCCTGGTTTTTCGAAAAGTGTGACGTCATCTTTTCATCGGAGCATTCTAGACACTGCTTACTTGTAAATGAATGTTTGTTAGTGATGGACACATACAGGTGATGGAAATGTATAGTCATTGGGTAATTTTTCAATTTTTATGTCATTTGTTTTTTTAACTTTGCATTGCTTTGCCATTTTTATGCATTTTGTTTCCTTTTCATGATTTTTTTTAGTGAATTTCTTCATGAATTTATAGCGACACACTAAAACAAAATGTTTATTGCGTTATGGGTTCATGACAAACTTCACTACTGCTGTGGCTTCTTGCTTTTTGAACTCTCAAAATTACACGGATCTTTGATAACTTGCTAGACCTTTCAAACATGACAATAGGATAGGAGTCAAGGATTACATTTCTTAATTTAAAAAAAAATTAGGACTTTTCTCCTTATTTTTAAATAATTTTCTAAGCATATTAGATCATTAGAAATCCAAGCCCTAATCATCACAGTAGTTCAGAGACGAGAGCAACTGGGCGTAAATCAGAGTTCAATTCCCAGTTAGGGTGACTATGATTTTGAATAATTAAATTAAAATATTAATTCTTGGACTTGAATGTGCAATTCTCATTATGAAACTTTATAGCATGCATGAAAATCTATCATTATCTACAATAGAAATTAATCCCTTTGCAAGATAACTCTATTCTAATGAATTTGGTAATGTGTCAGGAAAATAGGATTGAAACACAGGAAAACCCTGATTGAAGAACAATCTCTAACAGTCTTCCTCTCCAGATAGTATTATGTCTCAAAATCTCAAAAACCTTGCGAAAGTTTACTGACAGGTTAATGTATATTTGCGGGCACTGATCACAGGAACAGGTGACCACTTGAAAGAGAGAATATTTACATGTACCTAATATAAATATTAATAAATCAGTTCCTGGAAAATAAAACATTTTCAGAGAAAAATGGCCATTACAGGATATGATCACATAAATGAGATGGATTTCATCAGATTTTGGAGAAGTTGCGTATTATAGCTCTGAAATAATTTACTATAATGAATATTACAACATCGCACAGAAAAAAATCGTGACTTAGTTATGAAGCTTTATAAATATTTTATTTACAAAATAACATAGAAAATTTAAACAATCATAGTACAAAATATTACACAATGTTATAAAAGACCCCTATTTGACTAGGAGAAAGCCATGAACATTTACAATAAACTTCTCAAAGTTTTCTCGAAATTTTGTTTTTTGCTGACGCTCTGTGTTCAATACAACTCCTGCAGTCAATGAGGTAAAAGCCTTAGCTAAACGTTCTGCAGCAACTTGATCTTCTTGTTGCAACAATAGATTTTGAACATATTCCTTATAATCATCCTAGAAAATAAAAATTGAAATTATGTAAGAATCTTAACACCTAAATATTAAATGCAAGTTTTAAATATTCATGATAAAACAAAAATATTGAAAGTGTCCTGGATATTATATTATACTAGTCCCATTTTCCAATAACTCCACAATCCCTAATAACCTTTAACTAGAAATAAATTTTAAATGAACTTTTCCCCATGTATAAATTTAGCAAATACTCTAAGTATCTATTACACAAAATGCTTTATTTATCCAGAGAGATCTTGAAAACTGATTCAACAATTCTGAATGTTATACTTGTACACTCTAACAAATAATACCGTTCTTATATTTGCGGAAATAATAATAATTACATCTGACGCACCTGGTAACAGCAGATTAAAATATATAACGTTGCACCAGTGCTGGACAATATATCAGAATTAACTTGCTGTGTGAGAAGTAGATTCATTATTATCTGCAATTCAACAATAATATAATTTAACACTGCCAAGAGTAAAACATAAGATTCACTTAAAAAATTAAGATGAAAAAATAATTAAAAAACAATTTTTCAGTAACCTGCTTTTTATTGTGTTTAATTTGTTAGCTTTATTAAAAACAGATTTTCTCAGTCAAGAACTGTTTTAATTTCTTTAGCTAATTTGAAATAATAAGTGGGGTATTGGTATAGTTGTTTTGCCTATCTTGGAAATATGGAATTGGAATCTTAATTTTTATTCAGAATGTGTTTATTAATAAAAGCAGTGAGATAAAAGTTCATTCTCAACATTTTGTAAATACATTCTAAGGCTGTCAGCTCAGAACTCAGGGTATGCAATTACGAGAGTCCTTATGAACTGGTAGTTTTGATGTTGTTGTTGTTATTATTATTATTTTTTTGTGAGGTGGGGCCTACGTCTATGAATTTAATAGTTATTTTATCAGAAAGAACAAATAGTGTATTACAAGGTTTGTAATATATACCAAATATTAAACTGGTCATGCTCCAAGAACTAAAGCTCTTTGTGTTAAAAAGTATAAAATAAATTGATAACAACTGTAGTAAGTCCAAAAGACGATAAGAATACAAACGGACAAAATATGTCAATATTACATACCTTCAAAAATGGTTTTAACTGTTCATAAATGGGTGTATTTTGCAGGCTAGCAGAATAAATATGAGTTCCAAGTGCTTGCAGAAAATCATAACATAAAATTATTATATCTTGGCCAAACTGGGTAATGCCCAATTCAATGGACCCAAGCAGTACTTTAATCATTTCATTGGGTAAGGATGCAACTTTCTGTGGATATATTTCACAAACAAAAGTAACCATTTTAAAATATTGTAGACAAAGGGATGGAAATTTTAATAAATCCACTGTCATTAAAGGCATGATGATATTCAGTCCATAAAGGCACACATCAGCAGCAGTAACTGTGCTTTCAGTCTCATTTGATGCATCTGAAATATATTAAAAAAATATCAAATTAATTCACAAGTTACATAATGAAATTTGATTTTATATAGACTGAAGCAAAATTAATTAATGCCAGGAAACTAATGAAGTTCTCATTAAGCCTGTAACCCAATCAGCTTATAATGATGATAACTATGAATGAAAAAAGAAGAATAACTGGACATAAAATACTATAAAAATGCTTCACACAGTAAAATTTGGTGATGCAGAACGTGTATAATCTGGAAACCTTCTCAACGTGAACAGAAACTCTGATCCTGGCTAAGTTTTGCTTTATTTGTTCAATTTGGAGTCTTGTCTAATGTTGAAAATAATAATCTTCCCTTTAATTCTACTATAAGCAAGTTTGAATGTAATAACATAAATATTCTCATATATCGTAGTTTTCTTTAAATATATAGTCATGCTTTAAATATTACAGTCATGCTTCACAGTTATAATATTGAAATTGCAGTGCATTTGCATGTAACTATAAAGCTTGTGATACAAAGTAAATATCGATTGGAACTACCTGCAGTTTGTTTATTAAATTCTTCTTTGGGACACTATGACAGTTCTTAAAATATTTTTTCATATTGCCTTTATTTTTCAATATCTCTCTTTTTTTATTTTAAAAACACTCAACTCCATAAAAAATATACTGGAGATTAATTTAATTTAGAGTCACAACCGAGGAGGGAGAGGGGAGAAGCACGCCAAAAAAATCATATGACGCCCGTAGAATCTATGGGCACACTATTCATACTGTATATCTACTTAAATCATGCTATTTTACCATTTGCTGACAATTCATAGAGGATTCTACATCAATAAAATACCTAAAACACTGCTAGATTTTATTTGCTGCTATTTAAGTGGTATTAAAGAGCTTTGGAAAATACTGATGTGCATGCCCTCTGCAGTGATATCTAAGGGGCATTCTTCAAAATTACTTCACCAAAACCTATCATTGTGAATAAAAAGTAATGTTTACTTCATTATTGCAATAGACACTAATGTAATGTTATGTGTGATGTTCTAATAAACTAATTAACAGAATTTAATTAAAATAAACAATTTTTTTTGTTATTTATATTAAAAAATCTTTTAAAATATTAATGTAAACATAAAAATTGGAACTTTTTATCAAAGTATAAGATCATTTCTTGCTTCTATGTTTATTGTTTTAGAACATGTAACCCTTCAAATATACCCCAAAACCTTACGACCTGTGGTGGAAAAAAGTTGAGCTGTGGCTACGACCTGAATGTGTTAACTAATTTTCTATAGTCACAAAAGTCATTCAGTATCTGCACTGAATACATTGTAAATATCTATCAATCAGAAAATAAAAGTAAATTTTAAATTAAACACAATTTCTTTACGTGAAAAGATATGACAGGGCTAGATAGGGACACTTATAGACTGCCACTCTAAGAAATATCCTGTTAGAACCACTGATTTAATTTAACAACAAAATTACATGTATCTATCAATTTAACACCATGTATAATTAATAATGGTTATATCTAATAACTTTATTATTTTTAATCATGCAAACAGTATAAGTACACTTTTATAAAAAAATTCTCTGATAAAATATTACATGCATTCAATATATTATAGAAAGGTGCCAGAAATGGAGAAGGGTAGCAAAAAATAGACACTACACAACTAATACAACAGAGTATATTATCTTATACATAATAATTGTCTTATTTTAAAGATTCATTAGCATTTGTGTTAATAACATTTTGTTATTCATTCAAGTTCTTAGAGACCCTTAGAGCAAACTTGACCATACAGATATCAAATCTTAGATGCAATACATATATATTTTAAAGAAAAATTAAGATATATGCAGTTTACCAGTAATATTATTAGAAAGAATTACCACTAAGGTTTCAATTATAGTCTTTGAGCATTATTATATGTCATCCACTGTTTTGTGTTACATTAGTATTTGATAACAGTACCTATTAGTGTGTTTAGAAGTTTCCTAAGCCTAAGTATAACATGAGAGCAGTAAAATATGTCCAAAATGAAAGAGATATTGTACGTTGAGATATATGAAATTTATTGGGAGGATTATTCAACATTTGGTAGCATTTAATAAAAATGGCTTAACAATCTAATTTGACCCAGGCATTTTGAACATGTCAGCAAATCATCAATAGATTCAAGTTGAGAATATGGATGAAATGATTCTTCATAAATACATGTGAAACAAAGTAACAAAACAAGAAAGAAGAATTAGTTACAGTCAATCTTATAAAAAGACATTTCTGACAACTCTCCATTTGAGTCTAAAACAAACTTTGCTGATCCTCAAAGGTTAATTAATTTAAAAACATGGGTGAAAAATCAATAATGTGAAGGTATATCACATTGTAGTATGACACTCAACATTTTTACTGCAAATAAGCCATAGTCAGACATTAATATTTTATAGAAATAACATAACCTTCATAAAATTCTATGCAAATATGAAAAATTTCAATATATATTCAACAAAGAAATGTTAGTGGAAACTACAAAGTAGATATGAATTGCACCAAAGCAATGTAGCAATTTCTAGCATTTACGTACAGAAAATATTAATTTCACGAACCAACTATAGAAGTAAATTGTGTTATTAAAAAAACTACACATTTTCATTAAAAATGTCAATTACTTGTGTGGGACCAATAGTAAGAAAATAAAGAAAAACCTTAATCCATTAAGTGTTACAAAAGGAGATAAGAACTCCAAAATACCTTTTCAAAAAATATTCCAGAATAGAAGTTGAAACAAAAAGGTTAAAGAAAATAACACTATACAAATTCATGTAAGAAAAGCACAAAACTGAATGTCTCAATTTTTACCCATCATTCACCTAGCAAAGGAGCATACTCACATCTACAAACATCTGGTAAAGACGAGCCAGACTGGATCAAGTTATCACTCCTGGTCAGCCCCATAGTGCGAAGAGCTGTGATGAAAAAATTGAATGCAAAGAAATCAAACAACCAAGAGCGAGTTTTCTATCAGGAAATGAAGAATTGAAGAAGAGAACAACAGGCATAATTTTAATAGAAGTTTTTGGCATCCCACATGGAAATAAACTTATTGTTCCTGGAAAGGAAATAAAAGTGGAGAAAAAAAAAAGATAAAACCGAAAATCTTTGATTAACAGATTTGTTCTTGAAGGCACTTGCACGTAAATAATAGATGTAATGCCAGATACAACAGATTCCAATCTGCTATAGATTTTTCTTTCGAACCAACAAATTGTGATTAAGTCAGTAACAATACAGAGCCATAGGAAAGACGACAGAAAAAAATTACTTTACTGAGAACAACCAATTTCAAGTGATTCTAAAAATCAAAGAAGTAATCAACAGGTACTCAAAAACAGTAAGGATAAACTTTTATGTTCACATTTGATAGTCCCATAGTGTAACACATTCCACTAGCTGAAAAATTTTCTTTAGTAGTAGGTTTGTTTCATAGTATTGATATATTTTCAAACTACATTGTATATAGGAGATGAAGCTAACCTTTCACAAAATCTCTAATTGGACACTGACAATAGTACATGCAAAAATTGTAACAATATTGAATGAAACCAACATTCAAAGTGTGTAATATAACTTTGTAATTAATAACTGCTATTACAATTAAAACAAAAAATGTAATACGTAAAGGAAATTGTAAGGGTCTGAATTTGCAATTAGTCAGAACTATATCTAGAAAAAAGCAACAAATGTCCAAGTGAGTGAAATGAAGGAAAAGAAGAACAGGACAAGAAGTAAAACATCTTGCCCAGTCAAATAGCACAAACCTTTTCCAAAATTATAATTCTTTAACAACTTATTTCCCAAATTCCTTGTGTGGTTGCAAAAGAATAAATAACAAGGAAAAAATTCATAACTTCAAATTATTTTGTGTTAAAATGGAATATGAAACGCAATATTATCTTATATTTTATACCATTATATATAAAATACCACTAATCAAAAGATTAATAAAAATAAAACAATGGCATAATCAGATGGTTTTCATATAAGTAAACTACTCAAACTTTACCTTAAACCACACATGATCATGAAGACAAGTGATCCACGATACTTATCCCTAATTATCTGCCAAAGCAAGCATTCAAAGTTTGGAGCTTAAGACTAATCCAAATGAGCTCTAAAAATACACCAAATGTTTTCAGGAAATTTATGTAAAACTTTTCTTGGAGTGCAACATGTGATAAAGGCACAATCCTGCCGTTCATGTTGTCTCCAATGTCTCTGAAGAGCCAATATATCATTGAAACAATGATCTCTTTGGTATCCAAAAGCATAACATAAGACACGAGTGTTCAATAAATTTTCTCCGAGTGTCTCTGTGAGTAGAATGTCAACATGTTACCAATCACAGATCACTAGCAAATAAACAGTATTAAATAAGGCAAGTTCGAGAGACATCCTCATGTATCATCTTAAAAGAAAATAAAAGATTATAAAATGTTCATATTCCAAACTGAAATTTAAATAAAACATTAGCAAACAATTTTTCTGAATATTCTACTCATTTCCGTAAAATTTATGTTATATATTTATTTCCTCACAAAATTCATAGAAAACTTTAATACTAATAAATTTTCAAAGTACTGACTGTTAATCAATGTTTTAGTGATTTCAATTTAGCTGCCTTCAACAGAAAAGTGTTCATCTGTCCATTCATAACGAGTATTTCCTATCAAGAGACATAGAGATTAATGTCAAGGGAATGAAGCACACTGATAAACCTGATTTTTTATTTTTTCTTTCTTAATAAACCTGAGCAGGAATTAAAATGAAATCGACACCGACTTTTGCCAACACAAATCAACTTAATAAGATGATTAGCCAAGAAATATCACTGATAGAAATCTACATGTATAAGGTTCATTAATCCCAACAAGTAATTTGAAAGAACATTGTTTTCAGGAAAGAAAGAATTTTAAAAGTATAGATAGTAATAAATGGAAAAATAATTAAATAAAGAAATTTAATTAGCTGGGAAACAATTGGACAAGAAGAAGAGGAATTGCAACACAAAATCAAAAATTTCAACAGAATAAAAGTGGCAATAAAAAATTATTTTAGAAAGAGCATGAACTCAGAGGTAAAATATACAGTTTAACAGAGTATATACAGTTTAACAGCAAAGCCAGCATTGGTTAAAAAACTTGGACCATGAAAACTAGAGACCTACAAAGAATACAAGCAGATGAGGATTTGAAGATATGCTAGCCAGTGTAACAAACCTAGACAGTCACAGAAATGAAGACATCAGAAAAAGGCTGGAGGAAAAAGAATTCAAGTGAAGATATAAAGGAATATCAAAGAAAATGGTTGAAATACATTGAGAGAACAGAAGATAACGTACTCCCAAAATTAGCCTTAAAATACCAACCTGTAGGTAACATAGAGCAGGTAAGACCAAAGAAGAGATGGAGACAATAGGAACAACTGATGGAATAACCACCATGCCTAATGAGCAGGGAACAGAACACACCTAAACCTTCTTAATAGTTCATAACAAAGACGAAGGCAAAAGCGAAAATGATGACAAAGAGGACGACAAAAACGAAGAGGAACAGGAAGACAAAGACGAAGAAGAACAGGAAGACAAAAACGAAGAGGAACAGGAAGACAAAGACGAAGTGGAACAGGAAGACAAAGACGAAGAGGAACAGGAAGACAAAGACGAAGAGGAACAGGAAGACAAAGACGAAGACAAACAGGAAGACAAAGATGAAGACAAACAGGAAGACAAAGACGAAGACAAACAGGAAGACAAAGACGAAGACGAACAGGAAGACAAAGACAAAGAGGAAGACAAATGATGAGAAGAAGAAAAATGAGAAGGAAGAGGGCAGAGTGGGGAGGAAGAGGAGGAGGAGAGGGAGAGAACGAGAAGAATAAAAAGATGAAAAAGAAGATGATGATTATATTAACGAAAACTGTGGAGGTAGTGGTGACGATGATGGTGATGGTGATGGTGATGATGATGATGATGATGATGATGATGATTATGAAGATATTGATATTTTGGATATTGATACTGCTGGGAATATACTGTGCACATTTTAGAGGAAATGCATTTTTCCATTTTTAAGCTCTTCTGTTTGAGAAAAATATACATGGAAATAGGAAGATTTTGTACCCCCAAACGTTAAAGCAATCGAAAGCAATATTGATCATCTGTGCATGCACAGTTCAAGTTTCATATCTTTTTTGTGCATCTGTGCATGCACAGAAGATCGAGACTGCAAAAACTCCCTAATATTTATTTAAAAATTACTGATCTATTCAAATATGTTTGCATAAAATAAAGTAAAAATACATGCAATGCATTACACTGTTTCTGTAATAAGGGTAAATACCTAGAGGGCTTAAGTCAATGAAATCTTTTGACAAGAGGTTGGTCAATAATTCCATAAGGAGAAGAATGTCTCGATAACTCTCTTCTTCTGCTGAAGACTCTTGACTGACCCGTCCTGTATTACTTCGTGCATATGCCTGTATTGTTTGCAGACAAGATTCATAAATTCTTTGGCTATCCACCTGTAATTAACATATAAAACATTTATTAAAAGACATAAATTATTTTGAAAAGAACATATTCTTGTATTCTATACCGTACATAGTTGTTTGTGTCACCTTTTCATTCATCTTGCACTACTATCGATAATTGCAGATATCTTTAAGATGCAAGAATAAATTCTATCTGGTAACAATACATACCTAATATTTGAGAAACTTTGAAAGAAAATACACGTACATGATCTACTTCTAGAATTAGCATTCACAAGCTCCAAAGGCTGCATTATTTTACACTGAATGATGGCTCGTTTAACCACTATTTTATCATTGAGAAATCTTAATCTTTGGCGCTTATTTGGAAAGTGAAAAACTCATGAAAAGTTTCAAGATAATGAAAGAATTAGCTTCTTTATTTCTCAACAATAAAAATACAAAAGCCAATTTAAGACGAACATGAAATTGCTCCAGATCCAACCAAAATTTTAAAAATACTTACACTGAGTGGTAATAACATGAAGAGGCATACGAAAAAAATTAATAAATAATAACAGCAGAAACAAAACAAGAATATCTCATCTGAACAGAACATATTCCACATCCCATGCTGAGCTTTGTCAGGTAAAGCCCATTTCCTAGAGAGGATTGCCAGTACAAAGTTCACAACACGCATTTAGGATAACTCTATTTCATAATAAAATAATAGCATTTCAGTAATAATAATATTTCAATAATATTTCTCCATAATCGATTCTTTTCCTTTTTTTTCTGGCGAAATTGAGAGGGATATTTTGATGAGTTATTTTTCTCTATCATCTTTACTCAATATTTTATCATGAGTTATATCATAATTGATTATTATTCCAATTGTTGGGTAATGCTCTATAACAGTGAGATTAAAACTAAGGTATCATGAAAAAAATAAAGCAGGAACTTTATCCTATTAACTAAGAGGCCATTAAAAATGTGCATTTGCTTTCAGGTGGAGGTGTTACAACTGAAATGAGAACAATGAGAAAGGGGTTTGGAAAATGAATACTCTCACGGTATGTTTTAGTGCTATTAGTTTTGTGTTAAATGAAAAGAAAAATTATCTTCTTTCCAATCTCAAATTGTATTCAAATGTACACTGAACTATGTTGCATAATATTTATATTTTTATTATCAATTACAAATAAATATTTTATTTTAAATAATTGTAATATAAAATGTCCCTCAATTTCAAATTAACTTTGATTTAACTCAGCAATGGAGAGGATTTCAAAAAGGAACATTCAACTCGAAGTGAAGGAGCAGTATTTTAAGGATCTTGAAGTTGGAGAAGGAAGTTATTGCAAATATCCAGAAATGTGAATATCTCTAAATAAACTTGTTTGGTTTTTAGTCCTGAGTCTTTAACACCATGTTAATTCCAGAATCCTAGACACTTTGAAGCATTATTATCAAGTGATAAATTACAGATAGGTGTAGGCAATTCAAGGCAAATAAAACTTTGAAACTTACTTAAGCAGGGGGGAAAATATTGACTTGGAAGTGAAACTTACACACTTAATTCAAATCCACCCTTTTTGTTATTGTCAGTAAAAAATTTCTGTGTACTAAATATATTATTAAAATAATTTGTTTGTGAAAGTGTAAGCTTCCACGGCAAAACTCAATATATACTTGGCTGTCAGCCAGATGCCACATTCTAGGTACAGATGCCAACACTTCGGTCTTCATACTGCAGCCTTCAAGGCAAAATGAATAGAGGTGAACTCTGCAAGGGATAGACATAGGAGATAGGTCCCAGTATAGATATAGTTTGCTTCTGCGGTGATAGATTCTAAAACATCCTGTATACATTAAAGAATATGAGAAGCCAATGTTTTTACATGTAACCAATGACTAAACATTGCTTGTTATAGGCAACAAATCTTGGTACCTGAGTTATACTCGGCTCCAGCCACTGGAATTAAAAAGGTAGCCAGAGCCATTCTCAAGCATGGGTTTGAAAGTGTTAATATAAAGTTAACATAGTATAAATGTTAATTAAATTATCTTACAGTGAAGACAAAGATCACTTTATGTCCAGATATTTAATAAATAATAGAGGAATGTATTTCATATTGTACCAGAAAATACACATATCTCTAAATAAGACAAGAAACCAAACAATTTAAAAGAAAGATACATTTTCTATTCACTACTCCACAGCAACAACTTACACACATCATGCAATCACTATGGTCTAGACACATTTTCTTGAGCTTTCAAATACCTCATTCTTTTAACAAACTTAATTGAAATATGAATAAATGAATGTTCTTGACAATATTTGTTAAGTTGCTAAGTGTTGGTAATATTTGAGAAAAATGTGCTTATGTGCTGTAATAGAAATTACTTGCAGCAACAATCAAGCTACAAATTTGAATTGATAGAATTGCAACAGAATTAATTTACTCGCAAATTCCTCATGTTTATTGCAATAAGTGCTCAAGAAAATGTGTGGTTAGTACCAAGAAATGTTTTATTTATTTATTATTATTATTATTATTATTATTATTATTATTATTATTATTATTATTATTATTATTATTATTTATATATTTATTTTGAACTTCACAAAAATTGAACATTTCATATGTTTTTCACAATTAAAGAATCATAAAAACGTAAATGTGTACATTAAAAGAAAAGGAAAAAAGGAGAAAAAAAAGAACTATGACTTAGAATTGAGAAAAAAAGAAAATGTTTAAAAAATACATAATAAAGTGAATATTCTCTTGGTTCTGTACCAGAAAGATGATAATTTTTTGATTGTGATGTTATATTTATATTATTAGATATGTTTCTGAACAGTTATTACATTCTTTATATACACGGGCTAGTCGATGATACCGTTATAGAATGTTGTATGTCCCTCACAACAAAATAAAATTGCAGCTTTGAATTCAAAGACATATCAAACATTGAAGAGGAAAATAAGTACACAAAATTTGTAAAACAAACCTGATTTTTTTTATGAAGACAGAAAAGAAACCAATTGTAACGAGTATTACTAAGCAATACTTCTGGAACTCTGTCAGAAGCTGCAAAAATATGACTGTAGTTTTTTCTTTCATATAAGCAGATAAAATCACTCTTTTCTTTTATTAATTTAAAATAATGTTCCCAAAACATCAGACAATTAAGAAATATATCTATTGTTATTCACAATATTGTTTTCAATAAAATTTCATTCATTTGTGAAATAATTATACCAGAAAACTATTTGAATTGCAAAGCCCAAGTTTCTGTGACTGGTGTCAACAGATATACTTCGCTGTCTGAGACACACCACTAGACACAATTGCTGTTTCAGCCGTTATGCTGTGATCTTTCTCAGGGCAAAATGCCATTTGTATTTAACCTGTTTTTTAACTGATCATCTATATAACAATACAAATTTTCAATACAAATATGAGGAAGACTGATTAAATCAAAACAAGCGAGAGGGGAAAGAGGTAAAAGAACAAGAAAAGTTATTGTCCATCTTACTTTATAATGAAGGTATAAGATAGCTGTTGTATTACTTTAAATAAATGGATATTGACCATGTACTATTTAAGAGACAATTAGATTCAAAAACTCCTTGTATTGAAATTTCAATTCTAAATATTGGGATCTTTTGCAAATACAAGAATCAAGAGAGTTAAATGACACCATCTAATTTAAATTTTTAAATTAAGTATTTATTTTTAATCTATTTACATCAATATGGTTCCAAAAAAGCGAGATTAAAGAGAACAAATATCTATCTCAAAATGAGGAAAAGTTGAAAAATTATATTTATAATTTTTATATTTCAGCCTGAAAGCCTGACATTTCTCATTGTAATCTATTCATTAATATTTAATTTTTATGTCACTTCAAGTATACATTTTTCTAAATGTTAGTAGTTTTCATGCAACATAAAATTACATTATAACATTTTCCAAGTTTCCAAATCTAGATTTTCTCAAAAAACACTTCAAATATTTTCTTTAAATTTTTTGTACAAACAAAAAACTATGCTCAAATCGCATAACAAAAACATTATTTGATTAAAACTTTTGAATTTTCAATAAGAACACATGTAATTCTTTTCAGAATATCGTGTATGTTAGAACTTAGACTACAGTCTTATTTATAATTAAATGTATTTGTTCTCACAAATGCTTCAAATGATTTCTTAAGAAGTTTCTCGAAATCACTGGTTTTCTTGTAAATATTTCATTTCTTATTTACATTAATAAAACAGCCTTAGATGTGGTCTAGAATTCACTAGGGCAGCATCACAGGTCTATAACAGGTCAATACTCTACGTCTTTTGTAAATGTAAGGCATAAGACAATAAATTCAATGCAGGAGTGTTATATATTAAATGGCAGGAGGAATTTTATGATGCTACACAACCATTACAAATAATACAAGAAAGTAAAAATGTAATTTTTTTTACTGAAGGCTATCTGATCTCTTTTGTAGGCAACATTGCTTTAGTAATCAATGAGAGTTCTTGGACAATTGTATTGAAAGAAGCAGAAAAAAAAGGATTGACAGAAGCAATGTAGCTACCAGATAATTTTTTCACATTAAATGGTAGAGAAACAGTTTATATTACTTTTGGTAGTTTAAGTGTATAACAAAAACTCATCTTGTCATGTTTATGTTGGTCAGCAGCCATATAGGGAAATATAGTTCGAGGAAGAATCCATGATCCTATTTCAGAACCACTATGTTTCATTTATACAACAATACTAAAAGTAATATTTCACAAAAGTCAATATTACCACTCTGTACATCTGTTTGGTGGCTATAATATACCTAACTTAAAAAAGGCACTGCTGAGAAACTTCCACTCTCTTAAAAACACCTATTTTCAAAAACTGGCCACTAGAACTCCATTTTGCAGCGCCCAGTAGCTTCCACCACCAGGGGCCCAGTAGCTTCCACCACCAGGGCTCAGTAGCATTTACTTTCTCACATTATTTGTAACTTGCGATTTTCGAAGAAGAAGAAGAAGG